GTAGCCTGAAGACCCGGGTTCGATTCCCCTCATGGGTACAATGTGTTAAGCCCATTTCTGGTGTTCCCTGCCTTGATGTTGCTGGAATATTGTTAAAAAGCGGCGTAAAACTAAAAGCGATATAAAACTAAACTCACTCACTCACTCTAACCCAATGATATCAGTCAGGAACGGCTAGCCATAAACATAACTTCAGCTTGCTTTGTTTGGTTTACAAGGTCTTTGGTCACAGGTTCTCTGACTTAACTGTGTACAGCCATGCTCAGTTATTTACTCACTTCAACTCATTCACTCACTAACCCACACTCACTCGTCCACCCTTGCAAGTGTTCACCTTTTCACTCACTCATCCACGCTCGCAAGTGTTCACCTCTGTGCACTCACTCCTCCACCCTCACAAGTGTTCACCATTTCACTCACTCGTCCACCTTCACAAGTGTTCACCTTTTCACGCACTCACTCCTCTACACTGTCAAGTGTTCACCTTTTCACTCTCATCCACATTCGCAAGTGTTCACCTTTTCACTCACTCACTCACCCACACTCGCAGTAGTGTTCACCTCTGCGCTCCTCCACACTCGCAAGTGTTCACCTTTTCACTCACTCACTCATCCACACTCGCAAGTGTTCACCTATTCATTCTCACTCATCCATGCTCGGAAGTGTTCACCTTTTCACTCACTCATCCACACTGCGCAAGTGTTCAACTCTGCGCACTCACTCCTCCACACTCGCAAGTGTTCACCTTTTCACTCACTCACTCATCCACACTCGCAAGTGTTCACCTATTCATTCTCACTCATCCATGCTCGCAAGTGTTCACCTTTTCACTCTCATTCATCCACCCTCGCAAGTGTTCACCTTTTCACTCTCACTCCTCCACACTCGCAAGTGTTCATCTTTTCACTCACTCATCCACCCTGGCAAGTGTTCACCTTTATACTCACTCCTCCACCCTCGCAAGTGTTCACCTTTTCACTCACTCACTCATTCCTCCACCCTCGCAAGTGTTCACCTTTTCACTCACTCATCCACACTTGCAAGTGTTCACCTCTGGCTCACTCACTCATTCACTCACTCACTCACTTATCCACTCGTGCATGTGCTCATCTTTTTGCTCACTCGTTTGACCACCCCCACACACAATTCACTGACCAGCCCTTTCAGCTTGTAGACATGTCATGTAACACAGGTCTAGTTTGAGATGTATGACACGCTGATGCCCAGCCAGATCTGTCAATATTACTGCAGTCAAAGTTCACGCAACACTTACTGCACCTGCAGGGCCTTCAACTTGTGGCCTGCAGTTTATAATGACTGTCTTGGTCCGGTATTGTGTAGAATAGGACAGTCTCATGTACAGACAGGTCAGACTGAAAGACAGCCAGTATGTAAGTGTTAACAGGGTCAGACTTGTTTAAGGAGTCTGTGCCCAAATTTCTTTGAAGGGTCATTGCTCTTATGATCATATTTAGCATAGTTCATTGTTATCAAATATACTATTCACAATGTGCCAAGGATCAGATCATTGATTCAACAGAAAACTATGATGTGGGGTCAAATTTGGTTTCAGTATCTAAGCCTATTGTAAGCATGGATCCAAGGTTTCAGTATGTCACTGCATCTTGTGGATCCCATACCTGCTATTGACAGGTGCTGTGTGCTTGTCAATGACCCGTGCCATGATTTGCAAAATGGTCGATAGGTGCCATGAAAGCCATTTATGGTTACTCATGCATCAAGTGCAGACAGTTAGCTTAAAGGGGCTGTTTTCCTAAAGATCTGTTACCATATCAACAGTTATCCAGTTTTAAATGGATATAATTTCAAATTATAAATCTACTTTTAAGTAAAGTTGCAAATTTTTGTGATCCTTGTAGAGAGGTGAGGTGAAATTGGGTTTAACATCATGCTTGAGAATATTTCGCTCATATGACACGTGCATGCGTGTGTATGTGTATGTGCGGCTGCTTGTACTAGCCCAGACATAAGCTGGTTTTATAGTGCTAGCCCACTGAGATACCATGCCGCAGTGAAGCATGAATACCTCACTCAGACACATTATACTGACTCCGAGCCGACCAGTCCTTGTTGTACCCATTAATGCTGAACGCCAGGCAGGGACCAACAAGTACCATATTTTAACGCTCTTTATGACGCTGTCGGTATGACCTTCCTCTCTCGGAATCGACCCACAAGACCTTCAAAAAGCCACAACAAAAGCCTCTCTACCTATGGATGTCAATCAAATCTAACCGTCAAACTATAAAAAGGATACAATGCAACAGGTTGAGGTTGGACATGGTCATTTAGTGCTAGGCTTGCATTCAGATCAGAACAGATATATTAACCTACAGTCCGTTTGATTTCATTTGAGACCTATGAATTGCTCACTAACTCAAAATCTAATAATTGCAACAAAACAGTTATTTTTATGAGGGGGGCCACTTGCTGGTAGAACAGCCAAGTAATCAACAAGTGTGTGTAGTGAAATTTCAATTTCACACATGAAGCTCGCACACCTGGCTGTTCTACCGGCAAGTGGTCCTCCTCCGAAAAAAACAACCAAAAGTGACAGCAAAATCATGATCGTTTGTTAAACAACTTATTTATTCAGGTGTCCAAAATTATGAGACAAATCATCAGAGTTGGTTTGTAGACTGTCGATCTAATGTGACTGTGCCAAATTTGGTTTTGTTGTAATTATTAGATTTTGTGCTTGTGAGCACTTCATCAGGTATCAAATGAAATCAAACGGACTGTAATATGTATGCTGACATGGCGAGAACTGAATTACTGGTTCAAAAACTTTTCCTCTCTGAGAGACACAGTGTGTGCATGAGTTCTCATTTAGTATGTATAGGACATCCAGGGCTCGATTTAGTGCTTTGCTACTTGCACTGGTGCAACCCAATATTTCAAAGTGCAACATAGTTATCAGTATAACTTGCACCAGGTGCAAGTCAATTTTTGAGTGGGTAAACTGCTGAATACAACATCTAAATAATTGCATCTACATACTGCAATATAAGCAGTGCAACTGGAATTGAGTTTTATCTTAAGTTGCACCTGGTGCAAGTAGGTTAACATCTGTTAAATCAAGCCCTGACATATGGATGTGGTCCAGAACGCAGTATTTGGTGATTGGAAACACCCAGCTGACAAATAGATATTTTGACTGTGGAGTAGTGGATTCATGACACTGGCAGTCTGTTGTGTAATATGCACTAACTGGTGAATACCCACACCTTTCCTGACTGCTTATTCAATGTATGCCACACCCTATATTGCTACTTCACCTGGATAGTCTTTGAATGGTGAAACTGGCTATTTATGATGTGCTTTCAGATAGCAGATAGTATTGTCAGGACAGGCCAGGACAATCCCTGATACTGTGTACATTGATATCGTACATGTACCGATTGAGGAAGTACCCAGAAACACTACACATAGTGCAACATAGATAGCATGTTATCATTGCTGTATACATCAGCAACAAACTCACTTGCCCAGCCCAGCCCAGCCCAGCCCATCCCAGCGTCCAGCCCAGCCCAGCCCAGCCCAGCCCAGCCCAGCCCAGCCCAGCCCAGCCCAGCCCGGCTCAGTCCAGTCCAAGCCCATGCTAATGGATTTTGTCAAAATGTCATCATCCAAAACTAGCATCACTTTGAACATTCAATACACATTATGGTGAATGAATCTTTCTAAAATGTTGTTTAAGTGAATCCGGGGCGGCAGGTTAGACTAGTGGTTAAAGCACTCACTCGTCCCGCCGATGATCCGGGTTCAATTCCCCACGTGCTGGAATATTGCTGAAAAGCTGCATAAAACCATACTCACAAGAGTGAATCCAATTTTTCCCACTGACGATATTTCCAGCTATCCACATTTTTAGCCAGCCCTAATTTCAATGGCATGCAATCAACCAAGTCACCTTATCTGACCACCTAATCTAATATTTACTCAAGCTAATCATCTCTTACTGTCTTTGACTTTTAGAAACTAATCTGAAAACTGAATCAATTCAAGCCTAATCATGTTGACTCGGAAGTATTAGCCTATCACTCACTCACTCCTCACTCACTCACTCACTCACTCACTCACTCACTCACTCACTCACTCACTCACTCACTCACTCACTCACTCACTCACTCACTCACTCACTCACTCACTCACTCACTCACTCACTCACTCACTCACTCACTCACTCACTCACTCACTCACTCACTCACTCACTCACTCACTCACTCACTCACTCACTCACTCACTCACTCACTCACTCACTCACTCACTCACTCACTCACTCACTCACTCACTCACTCACTCACTCACTCAAGTATGTTTGTATATGATGCTGTACCTGTGTCCAGTTGACTTTCCAATGTTAATTATGTTGCTTGTTTAAAAAATCAAGAAAATCGGCCGGTATAGTGGAAAAGTTATGATGGCAAGTGATTTTACATGTGTCACTGTACCGGAGTACACTAGCAATTTTAAAGTTATTTCCACACTCACTCACTCACTCAAAGTATAACTGTCGTTAGTAGGTGACTCACAATTCATGATGTGAATCCCAAGAATTTACTACTCATGAAAATAGAACTGGCAGAAAGAAAGTGTCCTTATTGTTGTGAGGCTGAATTTCCTGGTAAGACAGAATATGTAGTACAATCACATATATCTGAACATTTCCTGATGAGGATGAGAGGCTGTTGCACACAGGATGTGACAGATTATGGTGATTCATCTGAAACTCTTTGAAGATCTATGTAAAGTTCAGACCCATAACAAATCTGAAGCTAGATTAACAATGATGTGATGAGTGTTCGAGAATAGATAGTGAAGATTCATACTGGTCGCAGGTAGGTAACATTAGTCCAAACATATATATATATATATATGGTGTGAGAGTGATTACTGAATGCAACTGTTTTCTGTTTCTTTTTAATACTACTTGGGTGCATTGGGAGGCTTGTTTTGGCAAGTTGATATTCTTTGTAATGACCTTGTATGTGCAACACTATGAGATTCGATTGGACAAGAGGTTAGCTATCAAAAATTCACATAATGAGGGATGAGAATGGTTCGCAGATCCACTGATCACGCTGGAGTCATTCTTGTGGATTGTCTAAATCCAAGGAGAAAGACCCCCAGCTCATATTCCTCCTTATACACTTATATAAAATAATTGGTTAGTGTCATTGATGAAATTTGTTAATGCACACAAAAATAAGGAAAAAAACATGTGGTCCTTTGGGGTTTTATTGGCACAATTTTACATCTTTAAAGGATGACTAGTATGTTAGGAACATAAAATTCTTGGAGTCTTTAAGATAAATTCAATCTTGGAACGAGCTTGTAATGTTTATGAAATGTAACAGACAAAACCAACCTTGTGAAAACTACTGTTAATGAAAGCTAGTGTTCCAGAATTGTTTGTGTTCGATTATGAGAAAACATGATCGATTTCTTGGTTGTTTAGTCACTGCGACCAATCTTCGATTATTTCAATAAATCGCACCACCACTAATATGTTCCATTCTGCTCATGTTTTCTTCTTGTGCTTCAGCGTTAGGATCCAGACTGTAAAGCCGGGCAGGATGCCGCCCCACCCCCTCCCCTCCTGCCCTGCTGCACCCCTCCCCTCCTGCTGCAAAGTTTGGAAAGGGTGGGGGAGGAGGAGCCGGTCGTGGGGCTCTGCTGGGACAGATCCATGGCGGAGCCAGGCTGAAAAAAGTTCAGACCAATGACAGAAGTGGACCGGCAGTTGCTGGTGAGCTCAATATACTATCTCTTCAAGTTTTCAAGTTCGCTATGCAGAGTTCAGGCTCTTAGATATGCCAGGATTATTATTTGAAAAGCAGAATTCACTCGGCCCTGGATCTCGTAGTTTAATAAAAGATAAGAGAAGCTGTGTCCTTAATGTTTGCTGGAATTCGATGATCATTGGTTCTGAATCTGAAACCTCCCTGACTATGGTCATAGCCTTGTGAGACAGCACAGTGGCAGACATCGTCTAGACCTGCATCACTTCCTATAGTACTGTCGGAAATAGAAAAAACTGTATTTTCTGATTTATTTCTACAATTTATGTAGTTTATGTGATAGTGTGAAATATCTGTTGAACTAAGTTTGGCCTAACTACAGTCTCAGTGGTAAAGAGATAGGAAACGGAGAAAAAGGAATTTACTGAGGGGAAATTAGTGCAGAAATGAGCATTGCGGCTTTTTGCTAAGTCCAAAAAGATTTATCTGGAACAGACCATGGCTTTATGCAAATTAGTGTGCGACGATATTGTTTTACAAAGGACACTTTTTAAATGCCCAATTTGAAATTAGACGTAGATTCATTATAAACGATAGCTGACATAAAAAATAATAACTTTTATGCCGAAACTATTAAGAATGTAGCTACCATACAGTCTCACTGTCACTATAAAAAGAAACATAGGAGGGGTCGTCTCAAAAGCAAAACCTGGGTTCTGTAGTTCATTGTCATTGTCATAATCATCATCCCCATCACCCTCCTCCTCATCATCATCATCAAACTGACACCTCATCACTGCAGCACACATTGGTTTTAGTTCCATATCTAGCCTCAAATAGCTGCAAAATTGCTCATGCGGGTAAAGCAACATTCACAAGTTCACTCATAAGTTCCATATCACTTGTCTACTCATCTTTGATTATAATCCAGTATATGTTGTATCTCCATACTTTGACGATAAATACTCTGCACTCACTCACCCAGCTTCGTTTATGAAGAGTTTTCATCATCCAACCTCTCTGCTATCACAGACAATATTCTTACAAAACTTCTAAATCAATTATGTCATTGCCATAAATATTTCAAATAGCCATTTCTTTTATTTTTTTAATGTTATACACTTTCCAAAAATTCTAGTCCTTAAAGATGAGAAGTGGATTCTCAGTTACCTCCCTTGTGTGCATACTTATAAAGTTATTCCTACACATCCTTCAACAACAGGGGCGGTGGGGTAGCCTAATGGTTAAAGCGTTTGCTCGTCACGCTGAAGACCCGGGTTCGATTCCCCATATGGGCACAATGTGTGAAGCCCATTTCTGGTGTCCCCTGCCATGATATAGCTGTAATATTGCTAAAAGCAGCGTAAAGCTAAACTCACTCACTCACTTCTTCAACAACATCCAGATCTCAAACATAACTCATGGTCGTTTGTTATCACTAGCGTCTTGTTTTGTTCTTTTTATATACTTCTATTCATGCAATGATGTTTCTTGTTGTTTCTGAATAAAAATTTGGAATTATACAAAATATCATGAAGCATATCACAATACGGCAAATATTGCAGTATATATTGAAACACTTAAAAGCTCCACTACCCATGCCTAGTGCTTTGCCCAGTATCATGATGTTAGTCTACAAGGAAAAGAAAAGAAAAACCTATTTAGAATAAGGTTATTGATAACAATAGCTACCTTCACTGAGACTTTAGTGGCTAAGAATATATTTCCTTTTAATACGCAACCTCTATTATACATAAATTCTACAGTTTCTATCACTTGAAGTCTCTTTTTGTTAAATTAAAGGATTGTAGTGTAGCCAGTCCCACAAAACATGTTACCAGTTATAGTCCGTTTGGCTCAAAAGCGGACAGATGAATTGCAATCTAACTCGAAAACTAATAAACATAAAATACTCAATGAAACACTGATCATAATCAAAACATCATACCAACTCTGTGAGGTTTTTGCAGAATGTTTGTCCTAAAAATTAAAAATTTGTTTAACAATCTATCATTAAAATATTGACACAGTTCACCATTTGTTACGAGGGAGGAGTGCAGAGAAAGGGACAGCCAGGTGTTCGAGAACGGATGGAGACAGCACAGCACAGGTTAATGAATAAATAACTTTGTCTGTGAACGTGCTTCTCGAACACCTGGCTGTCCCTTTCTCTGCACTCCTCCCTCGTAACAAACTGAACAGTGTCAATATTTTAATGATAGTTTGTTAAACAACTTTATTATTTTTAGGACAAAAATAATGAAAAAAATAGGAAACATACATCCCAGAAACCCCAAATCTGTCATGTGGAATATTGCAGAGAAGGGCATTAAAGAACAAGTAAACTTTAATGTTTGTTTAAATTTCCGGCGTTGAATGACACCCATTGAGGTTGTTTAAAAACCAAGTATGTGAATTGCATAAGCTTTCCTTCAGCAATATGTGTAAGTATTCAATGCTAAGCTTTATTCTGATAGTACCTTATAATACCCAGAAAATGGGTCAGCAAAATGCTGGTCATATTAGTAATGGTGTTCCGATTAATTGAAATAATCGAAGATTGGTCGCAGTGGCCAAACGACCAAGCAATCGATCACATTTTCTCATAATCGAACACAAACGATTTTGGAACCGCTGTAATGGAGTTTGAAATACTTGATGACGGAACATATTAAGGACGTTGTCCGTGTTTAATTCTTAGAAAACTCACTTCACTTTCTGAAAAGTTATGACTGAATATTTCTTGAAGAATCTGGGAAGTTTATGTTACAATGGAACTGAATCATTTTACACTGGATGTGAAATTTGCAAATGTAATTTGTGCAGTTTCTAAATAAAACAAAAAACAACAGCAGAGAACCAAATGTTTTTTTCTTTATACTTATCTGCAACTACAACCTGAATAGGAAAATCTAAAAAATAATGCTAACCAATTTCTTTCGATGATTGGTCATTGGTATTGAACCAATCATCAATTGTGAGATTTCAACTAATTCCCAACACTAACTAGTAGTAACTATTAATACAGACAATCTGCAGTTGACACAATAGGGTGATATCATAGCTGTATTTGAAAAACTAAGAAAGTAATTTGCTATCATGCAAGTGACATGCATTTAAGTAGCATTCAGAAGAACTGCAACATTAAAACCTCCCCAAAATTGTGTAATCTAGTTCCGTGGCAAACCTCAACCCCCATCCCATTTGTGCTTGTTAAAAATAGCCGTCTGGTCAAAGGGAGATAACTCTATCTTTACTATGTGGTCAAATGTATCTTCTCTGATGTGTAATGCCTAACTTGGCACTATTTTAACTATAAGGTGCCCCCCCCCCCCCCTCCAAAAAAAAATGTTGTTCCGATTTCCTACATTTCAGAAATAGGGTAGGTAGGTAGGGGTTTTGTTTTGTTTTTGCAAAATATTTTTACATTACTCATATGTCAGAAAATAAATTTAATTTATTATGTGGTGAGTAAAATGTTAGGCTCGGCGGGAATATTTAGGGTCGGTCGGGAAATCGGAACCACAAGCTTTTGTTCAAACTGAACATCCGAGTTTGATTCTCATATGGTTAAATTGCTGAGACAATAATTACTATCTTGATAGACTGACTGAACATCACCCACCCACTCACCTACACTCACACATCATCATACTCACTCACTCACACTTACACCCCCTCATGTTCACATGCTCGCAAACACCCACTCTCACTCAAACACTCAAAACTCAAAACTCACTCACTCTCACTCACACACTCACTCACTCACACTCACTCTCACTCACTCACTCACTCTCACTCAAACACTCTCACACTCACTCACTCTCACTCAAACACTCAAAACTCACTCACTCACTCACTCTCACTCACTCACTCACTCAAACACTCAAACACTCACTCACTCTCACTCACTCACTCAAATTCACTCACTCAAACACTCTCACACTCACTCACTCTCACTCAAGCACTCACACTCACTCACTCAAACACTCTCACACTCACTCTTACTCAAACACTCACTCAAACTCACACTCAAGAACCCCACACTCATTCACACCAACTCACATTCCCACCTTTCCTTTCAAGCTCCCTGTCTCTCTCTCTCTCTCTCCCTCCCCCTCTCTTTCTCTCACACACAATATAAGTATCACTCAGTCAGTCTCACAACATAACTCAATTTTCCTTTTTCACACACACACACACACACTCACTCACTCACTCACTCATTATAACACACACACTCAAACACTAACTGTACGACTGCCTCCGTAGTGTAGTGGTTAGAGCTTCCGCCCGGAGAGCGGAAGGTCGCGGGTTCGATCCCCGACCACGTCATACCAAAAGACGTTAAAATATGGTACTTGTTGGTCCCTGCCTGGCTCTCGGCATTAATGGGTACAACAAGGACTGGTCGGCTCGGAGTCAGTATAATGTGTCTGAGTAGGGTAGTCATGCTTCACTGCGGCATGGTATCTCAGTGAGCTAGCACTATAAAACCAGCTTAAGTCTGGGCTAGTACAAGCAGCCACACATACACATACACACGCATGCACGTCGTCATATGAGCAAAATATTCTCCAGCGCGACGTTAAACCCAATTTCACCTCACCTCACTAACTGTACAGTAACTTATCAGCAAGTACACCATGACCCGACCCTGCTAGAGGAGGACAGAGGAAAGCTGTGTAGATCCACCATTTCCTGGTTGCCAGATAAGGCAGCCATGTGTTCAGTACCGAGTACACAGTGGTATTTACAGTACCGAGTACACAGTGGTATTTACAGTACCGATTACACAGTGGTATTTACAGTACAGAGTACACAGTGGTATTTACAGTACCGAGTACACAGTGGTATTTACAGTACAGAGTAACATACAGTCAATAATCATCATGATCCTCACATGCTTATCACACAGGTCGTCATGTGGGAGTGGTAGAGTGAGTGAGTGTGGCTTTGCGCCACATCTAGAGATGTTTCAACAATGTCAGCATTTTGGGGACAGGAG